AAGACTATAGGCAGCGCAACAGTGCACAACAAAGGATAAATCAGATTAGATGAGGTACAAGGAATAATTAATTAATTCATTAATTCATTCATTAATTGTCACCCTTTAACGTGAAATATCCCAGTGGGGCCTCAGAGATATGTAAAATGATAAATGGGCTTTATGAAGTAAAACCAGAACAATACTTTCAGATACATGGAGCCAGGCAAATGAATGGGCATAGGTTCAATGTATTTATTTACCAAGGGTACTTGATGGCTGGAATGGGTTTCCAATGGGATGTTAAAGGCAAGATTTGCGACATTGCCTGGCCTTGTGAGAAACAGCTTTGTGTTGTAAGACGATGGGGTGGGTTTTCTGGAACATGAAATCAAACGAGCTGAAGCATCTTCTTCATCATCAACTCATGATCAGATTGTCAACAGTTTACAATATCAAAAATGTCCCTAACAGGACAGGCAGGAGTTGTAATTCTAAAAGGATTTGAATTTTATGCACTCTCCAGCATAGATACAATCAACTGAATGATAGATGGAGGAAAAAAGGTCTACATCATAATCTGAAGCTATCCTAGTTACCCCACTCGGGACCAGCAGAAAAGATTATTAAATGAAGGTGTTCACTATAGAGAGTAGGGTTTGGCCGTCAAAGAGGCATATCTCCCTGCCGACCTTCCGGATTGCCATAGGATGCTTAAAATTGCAGGGTTCGATATAATGAGGTTTGACTGTAACAGAAAAGCCTCAAAAAACACAAAATAGGACATAATTCTCTCAAAATGTAAAATATGTGCAACTAACAGATTTTTGGCATGAATAGCATGGGTTTACAAGACATCCAATGGGAGAATGCCAGCAATATTTTTTAATTCATGTAAATCTATTCTGAACATTAACACAGATTTAAAGCAATTTTGGCAGAAAATAATGGCATTTTGTTTCCTTGTGTATGTAATTATAACCAGCTATTCTGCAGTTTAATCTCCCATGTCATTGCCAATAACAAGTGTGTTGTAAAGGCTTTAAAAGTATAGATTGCCTTGACAGTGACCCTGATGTTGGGCACTCTTAATTACAATGAAAATAGGGATTCTAAGGCAAAGGGACATAAAAATGATCATTTGAAAATAGTGTTAGAAATCCATATATATTGTAATAAGGGATTGCCTGAAATAAAATCTGATTAACCGACAGGTATCTACATTCATGGGCATGCAAGAGTGAGAAGGAAATGGGAGGAGACAATCTGGCAAGATTCCAATCCAGAGATCCCGAGTAGGAAAATGCACTTAAGGTAACAGCTGGCTAAGGACAATGTGCTTTATTCTCCTGCCCTCCTCCTCCTCTCCAACCCTGGGTCAAATGGTTCACTGGCACTTCAGATATAAAGGTCCAGATTCATATACAGTGGAAGCCACTTAAGCCGGACACTAGGGCTGCCTGTTTTGTCCAGCTTAAGTTCTCTTCCTACCCAGCAGTGGCGGCACCGCCTCTCTCCAACTGCACCTCCTCGTAAAAATTCACCACCTGAAGAGGAATGGGAAAACTAGCTGCACAACATAATTGACTGTTTGCCTCTGCTACTTTTAAAAGAAAAATGGTATTTTTCTATACCGTATGTAAATAATCACAGCATTTAACACAGCAACTAACACACCGTCAAAATATCTGAAAGCGCTTCAAAGGATTTACTGTAACATGAAATTACTATTTTGTTGCCAGTTTAAATACCTCACGCTCGAAAATTAAATGACTCCCATCAAGTCTAAAGCAATTAAATTTAGTTTAAAACAGAGTTCAAATATGTCCAAATATGAGTTCAGGACTTCTACTAAGCTGCTCCAATAGTATGCCAATGCTATGGATTTATATCTTGTGACTGGCTAAAACCATTTCAATTGAATTTACTTAGGATCCAGGAATGAAATTTGTTGAGAGAGGCCCTACCAATTGCAAAACCAATTGTCCTTTGGATCCATAAGTTTTGAAATCACACTATATGGAGAACTATTGCTTTACAACCCACCTTATTCACACATTCAGCGCCTCTTTCCTCAATCTCTCCAATGCCCTCCCTCCTTGCTGTCTCCTTAGCTCCACCACCTATAAAATCTAACTGAATCAGAACTCCACCGATATCCTCACTTACACCAAACTCTGCACCCTCATCATCCTAGACCTTGCCAATGATCATCAGAACGGGTGGATTTCAAGATCCTCACATTTACATATCAATTCACACTTTTACACCTTCCTACCTCTGCAATCTATTTACACCCATTCCACTATCTAGCTGTTTCACTCAAGTGGTTCAGGCCTTCTACACATCCCTCACCCCTCTGCTCCATCATCGACAGCTGGGCTTTCAGCCACAATACAATATTATATTTGTATAGAACCGTTCATGTAGGGAGGATGTCCCGAGGCACTGGACAGCTAGGGATTTGGACCGAGGGTGGGTGGAGAGTTGGGATCAGGGAGGGTGTCCAAATGCGCAGTCAAAGAGGGTCTTGACCCGTGCCTTGAAGGAGGCAAGGGAGGGAGCAAGGCGAAGGGAATGTGGGATGGAGTTCCAAAGGGTAGGGGCAGGTCCACAATGGCCTGAAACTGGAACTCTGCCTCAATCATTCCACCTTGCCCATGTTCAGACTCTCCTCTTTGACTATGCCTATGGTCACCTCCCCTTTCTACTCCCCCCACCCCGGGGTTGAGCTCCATCAATGTTAAAACACTCAAATGCTACTTCACATGAGGGGCACTGTGTAATGCAAGTTGTTGTTGTTGATAGGCTTAATTGCCTTGTCTCATTCCACAAATTATACCCTTACCTGATGAGAAAATTCGAAATAGGTTTGGCCAACAGCTGCACTTTTTCCTTATAGACAGATTGGGTTAAAATTGGCAAAGCTGAAGCACATCACATTCACTAAAGTGTACAAGCAGAGATATTCATGTATCATACAGCCATTTTGTAAATGGACAGGCAGAGCTCAATTGAAACTGTCCAATTTTTCTGCATACACAAAAACACACTTAGCATCTGTCCTCCCCACTACACCCCAAACTTATTGTTATTTAGTACCTAAGCAGCCAGCAGCATACCCAACGTATTACTATTCATGCTTGAACCACATATTGAATATTGGGAGACTATTCAGCCTAAAGTATCAAAACCAATCCACTGTCATCAACCGATGTTTACTTTTCAGCAGGGCTCACTAATCACAAGCAGGAACCCGGTTTGATTTTTTTCGTCCTTAGGTCCACAACTTATTTCATATTGGGTAATGTCTTGAGTGCTTTATAATATCTTGATACCCTTCTCACAGCATGTACAAACTATAGTTCTACTAATTGTAAAGGTGTTTATTATTTTAATAGAGAACTTTCTCTACAATTGCCAATTGCCTTTCCATAGCATTCCCTTGCTTTCTCTCACTGGGCACAAAAGGGAACATTATTCAATCCCAGTTCCGGCAATACACCCTATGATTGTACCAAGCAGATTATGAAGTGGACACTGGGACACAAAGACTACAGGTGAAGTTGGAAGATATATCATAATTAATTCCATCATACAGAATATATTAACCTTCAGCAGTTGCCGCCCACCTTTATAGTCAGTAAACAAATAAGTTTTTCTTTTTTGAATTTTTCTTCATTTATGGCCACGCCATGGCTTGTTACCTAATGGAACTTTGCGCGGACTTGCCTGGACTGGTCCGGGTGTTTGGCAAGCTATTTCCTGACACTCCAAGAAGTCGATCTCGATCAACTGGTTGATCACAATCGACTGTTTGGAGACCCCTGACCTACAGTATTCTTTTTTAAAAAATCCAACTGAAATTATTTAAAATAATAATCCTTGCATTTGATATAGCCTTATCACATCTTCGAGACATCCAAGTATATTCCACAGAATATACTGCAAAGTGAATTGACTGTATATTTTTATGGGTGAAATGCAGCAGCCAATTGCGCACAGCAGTGTTCCACAAACAGTTGTGGATTGAAATGACCAATTTATTATTTTTTTTGAAGGAATTATTACCCCCCTTAAAACGATCCGCCAATCGACTGACAACCGGGTTCCTACTTACTGCTAGGTAAAGCGATGTGTGGAGTAAGGAAACTTGCCTAACATTTCACCTGCCGGGAATCGAGCCCAGGTCTCTTCGCTTGCAAGACGAGTGCTCTAACCACTGAGCAACAGAGTTTATAGTCATGATCAGTATGCAGCTGGGATGAATGAACATCATAAGACTACCATCCCATCTGTCTGAAATGGATTGAAACCTTGGTCTCTACAGGCAATAGGGGTGCAGGAGCAACAACAACTTGCACTTATATAGCACCCCTCATGCAGGGTAGCGTCCCAGAGCGCTTGAGTGGTGCTTCGACTGGTGTGGGTGTTGTCTAGTACAAAACACTAATATAAACTAAAACTTTCCAGAGTTTCAAGGTGGAATTCCAAGAACTGGGGTGGGGTAGGGTGAGGTGTGGGGGGGTGCAGAAAGCATGTGTTGAGAAAATAAAGTTATAAGTAAATATAAAGTAAGGTTAGATTTGTGATAAATTTAATGTCTAGTCTGTGCAGGCTAGTAAAAGTCTTTAGAAATTTTTTGGAAAGGGGCTTTTCCAATTGCAAAATCAATTGTTCTTTGGATCCAAAAGTTTAATTTGTTATAATAGGTTCTGTACTCAAGCTAACCTGGTACTCAAAAAGAGAACACAACACATTTTGTTACTTTGTGGTATATTTCTTTAATTGGAAGGCTGTCAATTGGTTGAAGACCAGCAATGCATGGTATATCCACACCCACCATCTGTAACAGAAGCTTATGAATAGTTAATAAAATCAACTACAATGGAGGGAGGGAAAAGAACCACAATCAAGAATAGGTACGTACTTACCCCAGCAACCCAGAGATCTGCTTAAATTATGGGATGCCTTAAAACAAAAAAGGAACAAGTGGGAAAGAAAAAAGAAGAATTACGCACTTCCAGTTTATGTTCTTTCTCCGCTAGGATTTCTTTTTGAATACGGACGTAATCAGCCAGCATACGTGCCAACTGCTTGCGATCTTCCAGTTCTGCAGCCAGTCTGCCATTGTAGTCTGCCAAGAGCATGCAGGCCTCATCCACAGTTCTCGACAATCTGTCTGCAGACTCTTTGTCTAAATTTGAACCATAAGCCACAGGGTATTCAAATTATACAAGGGAATATTTGCACAAGTATTATTTCATGTCTAAAATTGCAGGAAATGAGACTCAATGTTCTAGGCTTGAAATGCCTTTCCTCACCTGTTATTTTATCTAACAGAGAGACATCCTGAACCTCTGGAGGTAATGAAGCTATCTTTTGTCGCACAGCTGCATCACCTGAAGCTGCGTTTTCCAGCTCTTGCAATGCTTTGATGAGCTCCTCAGTCTGACATACAACAAATAGTGTGTTTGAATGTACAAATAATGAAATGTAGCATACTTTTTCCTACATTTCAGTTAAGATCATAATGCTACTGGTCATAATATGAGCTATTGCATTAAAAGCACACATAACAGCATTCTCACGTGGTCCAAGGTTGGGCTGTACAAGTGAAGAATCAAACATACAAATGACTGCACACTTTTTTGGGCTGATCAACCACATGTTGGGTTAGCTGTGATCAATAGCACCCAATATAGCCTTGGAATCTCAATTTGTGGTTCAATTTAACCTCTTCATTAGAATTCTGTCGTAGGTTAGGAAAAATGTTTTCATGCACATAATGGTTAGGATCTGGAACGTTCTGCTGGGAGCACGTCCATGACCATGCACACAATAATCATTTTATTTTAAATTAAATAACTGGTAGTACCTCTGGTGCTTCTTTGGGCGTGGTATTGGAAAGATAGTCGTCATCTTCTTCTTGTATTTGTTCAAAAGTACGTTTCTTGGCTTTTTTTTCTGCTGTTTAACATAGCAAACTAGTTTTAAAAACATGCTTTAAAAAGGCACCTTTGGAAAAAAACAAGTACAACAACAACAACAAGATTCCATTTATAGAGCGCCATTCACGTCGGGAGGACGTCCCACGGCGCTGTACAGTTGGGTCAGGACCCGAGCAGGGGGAAAATGCCATGGTAAGGGGATGGAAGGAAGGGAGCGAGGAGGGGGTAGAGAGTCGAGAGGGGAGCTGAAGGCACGGTTGAAGAGAAACGTCTTGAGACCGGCCTTGAAGGAGGAAAGGGAGGAAGCGAGGCGAAGGCACTTGGGGATGGAGTTCCAGAGCCTGGGGGCTGAGAGGCTGAAGGCCCGGCCACCGATGGTAGGGCGGTTGGTGCGGGGGATGTGGAGCAGACCGGAGCCAGAGGAACGGAGGGTACGGGCAGGTAAGTAGGGGGATAGTAGGTCAGAGAGGTAGGAGGGAGCAAGGCCGTGAAAGTACAGTACTTGAGATAGCAGTTGACAATGTCCATGTAGATATACTTACAAAGAAGATGCTTAAGCTGGTCAATGAAGTCGTTTTCATAAACCATCCTCTCTTGCCAAATGGCTAACACCCTTTCTAAATGCTTCTTACAGTTTTCATCAGATTCACTGTCAAGGAAAGGAAAATCCAAATTAGAAATACAATTTCCCTCTCCACAAGGCCACATGCTTTAAAATATTCTGAAAGCTTCTCAATACAAAGTGAAGTTACCCTGTGAAATGGTAAGAAAACTGATCTGCAACAAACTACTGCACTTCATCATATATTTACAGATCTTAGAAACTTGCCATTTTTAAAAAGATTTTCCAGCATGTGATCCATACACCCAATACTTTCAAAACATTTCAAGACTAAATAATATCTCGGGATGCAATATATAGTTTGGGACTCGACATGTCATGCAACTGCCAGGATGGTGGAGGCGAACTGGATGCACCTTGGTCTTCTTTCTTCTAGCAAATACTTATGATCTTACGTTTTTAACTTAGCATTTTTCTTATATTTCTTCCTCCCACCAGAAAATGATCTCAAGGAACAACATAAAGGATTAAACTCTCATGAACAGCGTTTTGTCACAAAATAGTCAAAAACACTTTACAGTATTATTCTGCAAAGCTCTTTTAGCAATCTCGACAATATGGTAAGGGCTATATCAAATACAAGGATTATTATTATTATTATTTAATCCAGATCAACTATGGAGCAACTGTGAGTACATGGAGACAGGTTGCAACATCACATTTGTCCTTGAAATTGAAAATATAAATTTGTAATAGGGAAACTAATTTCTGGATTTATTGTATTATTTTCCCTTGGTTCATTTATTTCAATCAGATTTCCATTTTATTCTTTTAATTCTTGAAAGTATATATTTTATTGTTCATTTTATTCCCAATCCACCTTTACTACCTTTCTATTTTTGTTCTAAACTAATACAACAACTTGCATGTATATTGCACCCTTCATGTGGGCCAGTGTCTCGGAGCATTTAACAGTAGTGGAACTTGACACTGAACCAAGAAGAGCAGGGAGATGACATGGTCAAAGAGGAAGGTCTTGAGGTGTAAACTGAAGATGGGCAAGAAAGGGGCAAGGCAGAAGGAGGAGGAATGGAAGCAGATTAATACAGGACAACATCATGAAAATGAGCCTTGGTTTTGTGTGTGTTCTCTTATAGCACAGGTGTATCCATGCTACCATACTATCCTGGAAGTGTAGTACATTTGGCTTCTAGCGCTGACGAGCTGAAACAAATGGCCTCCCCTCTGGGTCATCAGATTGCAGCTGAAGTCTCATCCTGTGCACTGCCACTACGTACAGAAAGCATTGTTGGCATCACTTCCGGTAAACTACATACAAAGCACCAATGACACCATTTTGTGAAAATGATGATATCAGCAGCGCTTCCTGCACATGTGCGCAAGAAGAGACTTCACCACTGATCCGATGATTTGAAAGCAGGACCAGCAGTCATTCCCCTCCCCCCAGGATCAGTTATAATCTGCAAACCATGAAGATGTCTGCAAGAAGAAGCATATAGATGACGAAAAGGAGGGAGTGACGATTGAGCCTTAAGATACACCACAAGTGACAGTACGAGGGAAGGAGGAGAAACCACTGGAGGAGACAAAGTTGAGCTCATCAGTCAAGTAGCATTATACCTTACTCAAATTAAATTCCACTTTTATATAAACACACACAACAGCAGGGGCTTTCATTTGTAATAGTGCAGCAAGATAGCTCTATCAAGGAGAGGATGACTCAGAATGAATGACTTCATGATCACCTCCTGATCAAGCTTCCATAAAATGAAATCCAATTTTTCTCCCACTAGATTTAAATCTGTACTTTGCTGCATTGGGCATGTGGGTTACTGCCAAGACACCAAGCATGCCACTACATTGTTTTTTTTAAGAAAAAACATGTTAGTTTTCGTAAGAAACAATAGTATGCATTTAAAAATGGGGATACCTCATTCTTGCAACAATTCACTTGAGGCATTTCTGATACCCAAGATATCAAGTTTGTAACTGTGGGCAGGTTATCATAGAATTGCTGGCTGGCCCGAAACTTGCCGAACAGGAGAGTACCTTGAAACATGTGAAAATGCATCCACCAAAACAGGTGCAAAGTCCTTGGTAAACTCTGGGCCCTTTTTCTTACTGTTCTGGATCACATCATTCGCCAGATACAGGAAGGTTAGTTTTCGGTTTGGTTTAGCTGTGGACAAAATTTAAGATATATATTATACACAGGTCATGTGCAATTTGGTAGACTATCCTTCTCAGACTTTTTTTTAAAAAGTGAGAATTGTATTTTTATATATACGTGCATATAAAACACCACATTTTTCAGAAGTTCTTAAAAATGTTGAGACAGATTTTTAACAAAACCAGATCTTTTAATATCCTAGTATCTTCCAGTCCATTATATAGTTCAGCATTTACAAAGCTAAAAGATATAAACTAACATCAAGCATTCAATACTGATTTAAATTTATGAAGTATTCTCTGAAGTTGACAAATTAATTAACTTTGCTTCAAGAATAATCTTTTACTCCATTTAAATCAGCATCAGATTTCAGACTTGTTGACAAAGTCTGATCTGACGGACAAAAGTTGGCCTGAAAATTAAGAGGTCAAGCCAGCACTGGTGAGACACAGGAAGGCTGTTTAGTGATTTGGGAAAAATGCTATAGTCCCAGAGAGGCATGAAATAGGCTACCTGAAAGAGGCTTCACTTCAGTGATTAATAGCCACACTATTACGTTCTAGTTTTCCACCAGAACACTGAACATTTGTGGAGTGTCTCCCTCCAGCCAGTGAAAACATCTCATTTACAGCATTAAGGAAGAACTATCCCAACTGGCAATTAATATATCAAATGCAAGGATTATTATTATTATTAAGCTCTTCAACAGAATTCATATATCGAACCCTAATGTACTTTAAAGAAAAGACTGTTCGTGTGTTTTGTTGTGGATTGATGAGTGATAAATATCCTACCAACAAACAATCTTTTTAAGTCTTCCTTTGGTTGCATGCTAAGAGAAGCATTATTCATGAGTCACATTAAAAAACAAGCTGGAAAGAATTGCAGAGAACCACTGCTGACAGCTATGATAATGTGCTTCTGCAGTGAAAGGAACTCCAGCTGGAAAAAGTGAAACCCAATGAAAAAGTGGAGACTTTTTTTCAAACTAAGTTATGAAAAGAGTGAAGCAACCGATTTTGCCAACTAACAAGGGTAAAAGAAAAAAAGTGCACATCTTCTGGAAGGAAACCACCTCTCAAAACTTATTTCCTCTACCCTTGTACACATTTACCAAATCAAATAGTCAAGTTCACAATGTAAGATTCAGGATACAACAAAAACAACAAGATTACATTTACAGAGCGCCTTTCACGTCGGGAGGACGTCCCAACCACAACACACTCCCAAGATCAGTCAAATGTCACACTACATTCCACTTAAACGCCGGCTCGCTGGATTAATGGGGGGAAAAGAAGATCCCGTCGGGTGAGCTGGAATTTCCAGCTAAGTGCAAATACAATGCCAGTACCAGCATTTACTGGCATTGTAATTGTTTGAATCCTGCGAACAGAAGATGGCGAATAAGCTTTCTACTGCTTGCGGGATTGAAACAATCCAAGGCAAAGTGGATATCCCTCTGAAGGACGCTGAGGATGCTCAGTGAGGTGTTGGAGTGCACTAGGAGAGTTGAAAGTCATGAGCCTACACGCGGGCTCATGGAATTTTTTGGTTTCAGACCCAATCATGCTTGGTTGGAATTCCAACGGTGGCTTACTGTATTGTTATAATTGCTTCCGTCTAAATCTTTACACTAACAAATCAGCAAAATAAACTGGTATCATTACACAAATGAACCCACAATTAGCATGGGCTGCAAAATGCCAAGAAGTGAGTAATAACAGTTTTACACCTTCACTAAGTTAGTGACACACAAGGATTCCCGAACAGGCAGAAACTCTGGGTATATCATTAAGTAAAATGATAATTCTTGCATTTGATATAACACCTTGCACATTGTGAGGACATTTGTAGGACAACAATGTGAGGCCAATAATAATCCCTCCAAAAAAACAAAAACAATAATAAATTGGTCATTTTCAGTCCACGACTGTTTGTGGGACACTGCTGTGCGCAATTGGCTGCCGCGTTCACCCACAAATATACAGTCAATTCACTTTACAGTATATTCTGTGAAGCGCTTTGGGATGTCTTGAAGACGTGAAAAGCGCTATGTCAAATGCAAGGATTATTATTATTACATATTATAACTCAAAACACTTCACAGTATTTACTGTAAAGTGTGGTGACTGAATTTTGTGGGCAAACACAGCAGCGATTTGTGAACAGCAAGGTCCTACAAATAGTGATGAACCGTGAAGGGCCAATTTCACCTGAGGGGGGTATTGGCCAGAATACCAGGAAAAACTCCATTTTCATGTTGAATATTCCCATGGGGTCTTTAATGTCCACCTGAACAGGAAGAGTGGGCATTGGTTTAACATCTAATTCAAAGGATGGCAAATCCAACAATACAGTGCACCCCTAACAATGCAATGACGTGTCAGCCTAGACTCTTTGAGTTCAAAGCCCCAACGTGGGACTTCAACCACAACCTTTGGACTCAACAGTGAGAGTCAACCAAATGAGCCAGATTAACAACATCAATATGCAACTACAAGGTTGTGGGTTTTAACCTAACCACCAGAACTAATCTAGACAGTGCAACAGTGCAGAACTGTATATAAGTCCTATTCTTTGTATGCAATGTTAAATTAAGATCCTGACTGGTAGCTCAGGTAGGGTTTAGAAATCGCATGGTAATATTTTCAACAGCAGTGATTCTTCTGGTGCCCTAGCCAATACTCTCCTCTCAATGAAATTCATCACAAAAACAGAGTAAATGGTCATACATCTTATTGTTCATTGTGTGATTATGCTTGACCTACGGTCAGCTGCCATGATTTAATTCAGAATTATATTTACTACACTTTAAAATCATTCATTGTTTGAAGCAGTTTGAGATATTTTGAGATGATAAGAAACAAGTATAAACAGTATTTATTATCACCTGAAGACATAGGCTGGTGAATTGACACATGATGCCTTCATTCCCATTAATAGTTTTGGTAGTAAATGCAGTGTTTCTGCATGTATGTATAATTTTTATTTTGTTAGCTGGGTGACTAACACATAAGGCAATTCATCACCATGATTAAAGAGTGTCCAAACCAAACAGAGTTCTATACATTCCACCGCCACATGGAAACTCCCATCTATTGCAATGGAATATGCACACTCTGTTCCCTGCTTACCTAACACTGAACCGTATTAGGAGCAGGTTTGGCAAGAGTCAAGACTTGGGGATCTCAGAGTATGATTTGGGGTATTGTTGAAGTTTAATCATCAAAATGCACATTGCTTGCCATTGAAAACATTGTCTGACAAACTTGCCAATGCTTGTACAACTAGGACCACCCTACCCATTAGGGCATGGGCTTTCAGGAGGCGAGTGGGAAGACTCCCTGCCCCGAGCTCTGCGAACGAGCCTGACTCAGGAGTCAGTCTACTGAGAACGCCAAGGAGGGATGACTTGATTCCGACTTTCTATTGCGAAGCATGTCACCTTGGAGCTGGTTCAACTCCAAGGAGACACCACTTACTTGCCCTCTAAGGAGAATGATCATGTATTTTAATGACTAATAATGATCCTTGCATTTGATACAGTGCCTTTCACATCAGGAGGATCAAATTGGTCATTTGACACACATATAACCTAGAATTAGTTGAAGTGGGAAAAATTCTCTGAAATATTAGCTCCTTTCTTTTCAAATCTGGCCACCATATCTAATATGATCATTTTAAAATGCATCATTACAATGACTGAAGCTTACTGCATTTACCTAACTTAAACTTCAATAATAACAGTTGCTTTTCTGACTGGAGGGAAGTGTGCAGTGGTGTCCCCCAGGGGTCAGTATTGGGACCACTGCTGTTTTTGATCTACATAAATGACCCGGACTTGGGTACAGGGAGTACAATTTCCTAGTTTGCAGATGATACTAAGATCGGAAAAGTAGTAGGTAGTGAGGAAGATAGTCGCAGAAGGCAGATAGACAAAGACAGACTGGTAAAATAGGCAGACACGTGGCAGATGAAGTTTAATGTGCGAAGTGATGCATTTTGGGAGGAAGAATGAGGAGAGGCAATATAAAATAATAATAATCTTTGCATTTAATATAGCGCTTTTCACGTCTTGGAGACATCTCAAAGCGCTTCACAGAATATACTGTAAAGTGAATTGACTCTATATTTGTGGGCGAAACACGGCAGCCAATTGCGCACAGAGGTGTTCCACAAACAGTCGTGGATTGAGCGACCAAATTATTATTATTTATTCATTTATTTTTTCTTGAGGGATTATTATGAGGCACGTGGAGTAAGGAAACTTGCCCAAGGCTTCGCCCTGCCAGGAAACTAACCCAGGTCTCTCTCTTGCGAGGCGAGTGCTCTAACCACTGAGCTACAGGACTCCAGTGATTAGAGCACTCTAACCACTGGAGTTAGATGGTACAGTCTTAAAGGGGGTGAAGGAACAGAGAGACCTGGGGGTTCATATAAATACATCTTTGAAGGTGGCAGGACAGGTAGATAAAGCGGTTAGAAAGCATAAGGGTTGCTAGGCTTTATAAATAGGGGCATAGCATAGAAAAGATGAACCTTTATGAAACAGATATTTGGCCTTAGCTGTGTTCAGTTCTGGGCCCCACACTTTATGTCAAGGCATTGGAGAGGGTGCAAAGGAGATTTACCAGGAAAATACCAGGAATGAGGGACTTCAGTTAAGGGGAGAGGAGAGAGAAGCTAGGATTATTCTCCTTGGAGCAGAGGAGACAATAGAAGTTTTCAAAATTATGAGGGGATTCAGTAGGGTAAAGAAGGAGAAACTATTTCCACTGATTATCCCAAGGGCACTGATTTAAAATAGTTGTTAAAAGAAACAGAGGGGGGCGGTGAGGAGAATTTTTTTCACGCAGCGAATTGTTCGGATCTGGAATGCACTGCCTGAAAGGATGGTAGAAGCCGATTTCAATAACAACTTTTAAGAGAGAAGCAGATAATTATTTGCAGGGCTGTGGGGAGAGAGCGGGGGAGTGGGATTGAATTGGATGGCTCTTTTCAAAGAGCCG